AAAAAAATCAAGCAGCTGGTTAGCGAAGCATTGGGTCCAGATGGATGAAGCGTCTGGGCAACTGCGCTCCCTGCAAGCCCGAGGAGCGGTCGCTTCTGACCTTCCCTCTCCAGCCGCCCTCCCCCCCGGCAGAGGACGCCGGAGAAAGCCGGTGGCGGGCAGGCAGAGGCGAGCCCAGGCGAGCCCAGGCGCCGCGGAAGCATCCCTAGACCTCGGGCCGCAGGCTGGGGCGGGCGAGCCCGGTTGCTAGGAGACGGCGCCGCGTGTGGGAGGGCTGACGCGGGCAGTGTGGGCAGGGCTGGAGCTGAACCTGGCACGCAGTCCCCGAAAGACAAAAATGGAAGGGCAGACCTGCCAACTCCCTCCAGAGTCACTGGTAACACTGACAGCTGGGAAAACCCACCGCGTCCCTGGTCCGACATAAGTCCCACCCGGGAGTAGAGGGAGCGTCTCCCAAGGCTTGCCCGCTCCGGCCGGCCTGGGTGGGGAATGCCGCCTCCGCGTTCTCCCTGGGCCGCCTGATAGTTGGGCTGCCGGGGCGAGAAGATGTTTCAGGGAAGCAGATGCGGACAAGCCTGAGGACCCGCGTTTCTCCTGCAGTGGAGAAGGCAGCCTGGCTCGGGGGAGTAGGGCCCGTTTATGTCTGCTCGAGTTCTGCCAAAAGAAAAAAAAAAAAGGGTATTGGGAAACATGGGGTATTTGCACCCATCCACAGCGGCCAAAGGGTGGACACGACCCACGTGCCCATCAACAGGTGAATGGATAAACACAGTGCGGTCCATCCACGCGCGGGAACACGATCCAGCCTTAGGGAGGAAGGGACCCTGACACCTGACACGACTCGGAGGGACCCCGAGGACACTGGGCTCAGTGAGAAGAGCCAGACCCAGAAGGACACATCCCGCAGGACCCCACTCCCAGGAGGTCCCCAGAGGAGTCCCGTCCACACAGACAGAGAGGAGAGGGTGGGAGCCGGGGCTGGGGCAGGGGGTGGGGAGTCCGTGCTTCATGGGGACAGAATCTCCGTGTGGGGAGATGGAAAGTTCTGGAAATGGAGGGTGGGGTGGCTGCAGGACGGTGTGAATGTGCTTCCTGCCGCTGAGCTGTGCACTTGAAGATGGTTATGATGGTGAAGTTGGTGAGTTTTAGGTCTGCTTTACACTGAAGAGCTTGAGTGCATTGGGTTTTCCCATTACACAGAACTTGGGAGTTTCAGAACAACGAAGAGTGGAATGAAGTGGACCACTGCGAACACCCCGTGTTTCCTTCCTTTCCTGTCTCTCATGCTCTCTCGGTTGCAGAGAGGCTCCTTATATCATTGTAATTCCTGCTGTTCTTCACTTGACGCCGTCACAACTTGAATTTCTCAGGTGTTTTCAGTGTGCTCTGATCCTTTGCCTAATTTAATACTTCTGTAGACCTTACAACATATTTTTTTAAATGTGGTAATGTGCACATAATATAAAACTTATCGCTACATTTCAAAGTGTACAACTCAGTGGTTTTTGGTATTTTTGCAGATGTGCACAAACATCACCACTATCTCATTCCGGAACATTCCGTCACCCCAAAAAGAAGCCTCGCCCCCATCAGTAGTCACCCTCACTCCCCACCCCGGGCCCCCACGAGCCCGCTTCCCGTCCATGGATGAGCCTGTTCTGGACGTGTCACCCACGTGGACTCACACCCCATGTGGCCTTCTGTGTCCGGTTCCCTCCCTGAGCATCGTGGGCTTGGGGTCCATCCCCGGGGCAGTGCATGTTGGCACCTCGTTCCTGTTCGAGGCTGATATTCCCATGTGTGGATGGACCACATCTTGTTATCCACTCATCCACGGATGGACATTTGGGCTGTTTCCAATTTTGGCTACTAGGAAGAGATGTAGTTTTTAACAGACGCATAATATTCCATAAAACAAATGTACCCTAATCTGTTTAACCATCCCCTACTGTTGGACACTTAGATTGTTTTCAAATTATAAATGACAGCGTGGCAAACACCTTCTTGTACAGTTGGGGTTCTGTCTCTTCCATAGATGCCCAAAAATGAAACTTCTCGATCAAAGGGCACGAGCATTTTAAGGCATCTGAAACATCCATGTGCAAGATTACGTTCCATCAGAGCTTTGCCAGTCTCCCTCTCATTGTAAATGAAGGAGCCCCATCCTTGCCCCCAAATCAGGACTGTGTCTTCTCATTTCCAAAATATTTTTCTTCACATGGACAGAAGTGGAACAGTTCGGTTTCCTTCTGTGATGTCTACTATCACACTGCTGTTCTTCCATTTTCTCAATTACTCAACACGTGCTTATGGAACACCTATCATGCGCCATGGGCCGTCACTCATGTGGCTTCCTCATGTCTACCGTCAAAAGTGTGGAAATGTATTCAATATTCGATCAGCAAGCACTCAGCACCTTCCTTGGGAGGACCCAAAGATGAACCAGAAGCTGTCACTTCATGCATGAGGGTGACTCCAGGCTCTAGTCTCAGCATGGTCCTTGAACATATTAGCTGTGGGGGTCTCAGGACAGCTCACTTCGACTTCCTGAGCCTCTATAAAGCTGAATCATAACTGATAGCACCAACCTTTTGGAGCTGGGGGAGGACTCAGTAATAAAATGCATTTTTTCACACTTGCTGCACAGAAAGTTTCCACCTCAGGGACACAGGTGTGGTGGAAGGCAGGTGTGAAGGTGGAAACTGGCAATCGAGAAGAAAGTCACACACGGAACAGCGTCCCCTTCAGCTTCCAGAGCAGATATTCCTGGTGTTTGGGTCTCCCTTACAATGGCCAGGGCCTCATACTCAACCCAGAGTGAAGCCACCCCAAGGGCGGGGGGCCTCTGGCTAGCTCTGCAGCATGTGCCTCATAAATTCTAGCTAGTGAGAGACTAAAACCCAAAAAGAGAAGAAAAAAGTAACTTGCTGGAGGAAAGAGACAAAGAGAACAGAAGAAAGCAGTTGGAGAGAAACCCTTCTGCAGGTTATCCTCGGAGAGCTTGTAGAAGACACAGTGGCCAGGAAGCAGCTCTACATTTGCCTTTTTTTTTTTTTTTTTAAAGATTTATTTATTTAACAGAGATAGAGAGAGAGCACAAGTAGGCAGAGCGGCAGACAGAGGGAGAAGGAGAAGCAGGCTCTCCGCCGAGCAGGGAGCCCGATGCGGGGCTCGATCCCAGGACCCTGGGATCATGACCCGAGCTGAAGGCAGCCGCTTAACCGACTGAGCCACTCAGGCGCCCCTCTACATTTGCCTTTTGAAAAAAGAACATTCAGGGGTGCCCGGCTGGCTCAGTTGGTGGACCCTGCGACTCTTGATCTCAGGGAAGTGAGTTCAAGCCCCACGTTGGGTGTAGAGATGACTTTAAAATAAAAATCTCTAAAAAAAAAAGAAAGAAGGAAGGAAAAAGAACATTCAAAGAACTAGAAAGAGCCCTTGGAAATTAAAAACCTGATAGTCAAAATGGAAATGTTGACAGGCTTGGAAGAAAAAGTAGAATGAGAAGACAAAAAGAAAAAGGTGGGCAAGAAAATGAGAAGATCAACCCAGGAAGCCCAATATATGACAGAGAAAAGACACCAAAGTGGAAGAAATCACCAGGGATGTCATTTAAGAAAGTTTGCCAGGAATGGAAGGCATGACACAACCCAATAACTGCCCAGCACAACAGGTAAAAAAAAAAAAAAGACCCACACCAAAACCACACTTTGAAAGTGCAGGATGTGGTGAATGAGAAGATTCTACAAGTGTCTGAAGAGAGAGAAAACAACGTGATAAGAAGACGATGAGGAAACAGGATAGCTTTGGGTTGTTCAAATGCCCAAGACTGGAAGCTGGAAGACACAAGGCAAGGGAAATTAGCCACCACCCAGCACAGCGTCCTCAGCCAGACCACCAATCACACAGGAGAGTGGAAGGAAAATATCTTCTCTGGAAATGCCTAGAGGGTGCACATTCCCAAAACGAGGGCACAGACCAAAAAACAGGGAAGCCTGGACCCCAGAAACAGGAGCTACATCCCAGGAATCCCCAGGTGCCGAAAAAGTGAAAGGCCAGGGGTACAGCTGGGCTGCAGCTGGCCCTGAGTGGAGAAGTTCGTTCCATTGGCAAGGCTGGAGGAAAGAGAATTCATAGATACACAAAACAAAGGCAATTACTAACTTCAGGAAAATAACAAAACAAGTCCTAGAAAATAAAAGTGTTCCATAGTGTACACTGCTCCACTGTAAACAATCTACATAATAACATAAGGGTCTACTATGTGCCAGGCTCCAGAGATAAATGATTGACCAAGCCAGAGACAGTCCCTGCCCTTGCTCATGGAATATATGTTTTGTCAAGGGGGCCAAGGCAAGTCAGGAGGGC